GCTCTTATGGGATGGCACACTTCTTGGGTTCCTAATTAATCTCATGGAGTACAAGGAAGCAAAATCCTGTGTCTGTAGAAGCTGAATATGTAGCAGCTGCCTCTTGCTGTGCTCAACTTTTGTGGATCGAGCAACAATTGGAAGATTATAGAGTATTCTCAGACTGTGTGCCTCTCTTATGTTATAATACTAGTGCACTCAACATGGAAAATAATCCAGTTCAACATAAGAAGACAAAGCACTGAAGACCAAATTGCAAATATATTTGCCAAGGCCTTGAGCAGAGAATACTTCGAGCAAAATCGTCTAGCATTAGGGTTGATAAAACCCTATTGAGAACCCGGTCCCTTAATGATTGGCTATGAAAGAAAGGTTCAGGTAAACTTAGCTAAAAAATGTTTTCTGGTAAAGTCTACCTCATCTCTATACCGTTACAGGTAGACACGCTTGATGATTACAGAGCAAATAAGCATTTGAAGTTGTACACTGGTAAAAAGGGCAAAGCTTACAGACAAGAGATCAGTCAGGGAACCTGGTTCTCCTGACACTTGTTAGTAGTTTCTATGTTCTCTCATGAACAATTTTGAACAATCAAAACAAGTGCTACATCATCAGCATGTCAGCGTTTAGTTTGCATCTTTTAAACCCAAACACCTCACCAATTATAAGATCGACCCATCTCCTTAAGACCTGCCGCCCTTTTTGTAACCAATCCCTCTGTCATCATAAATACATCTATCTCTGTCACCACACTTCACACATCAACACTTCCAAACCTGTTCCCTGTTCACTCTCTCTTCAGGTCACCAAATCTTCTCCTCCTCTCACCATGGCTGACTATTAATTGATCTCTAGTACTATCAAGTCCTCACCGGTCGAAAAACCAGCACCAGTCTCTCCTCTTCGCACTACTGATAACCAAAACCCTAGAATAGAGTCACCCCCACCCTTCATATCCTCTCCTACCAATTCAAGTTCCGGCTCTCTCAAGAGTTACCCAGCATCAACTCTTGCAGCAGGTGTTGCCCAGAGCTCATCTCTCACCTCGCTAGAAAAAAGGGATGCCATGAATATTGCTGAGAATGAAGGAAATAAAAAAATCTCAAGTTCTCCTATAGAAGAAAAGTCAGAAGCAGACCAAGTTGAGGGAAATAAAGTCATCGACTCAAGAGTGACTGCTCCCGAACCTCAGTCCACAGGTGCCTCTACTATTTCTCCTGAGCCTCTCATGAATTTGCAATAAAAGGAAGCAATCGAAAATAAGCTGTCCATCGCAAATAAAGGGGTTTTTGTCAAAGGAAGTGAGGATGGTCTTAAGACTCAGGGGGGAAAATCTGAACCTGTTGGGGAGGATAATGAGCGTGTGCCTGTTGTTCCTTCGGCACAGGAAGGTACTACTTGGGAACCTGTTGAAGGACCTGATCCGCCTTCAGTTTAGGAACCCTAGATCAGTACTAACCTTGCTCCCTCTCCTCATATAGACGTTGAGCCTCTGAATGTAATCATGCCTGAGACAGGTCCTGCGTCTGACAACCAAAAAGCAAATAGTGAAGAAGATTCTGGTGACTTACCAATCGCAAGTCTGCTGTAAGGCCCCGAAAATTTTCGCTAAGTAATTTAAGATTTCGTGGTGTCACATAGGCTTATTATAATATTTTTATGTGCTATTAACATGGTGTACATCCATTGGATTTGGTAAATATGTGTATAAGTCTTACGGTAAGTAATTTGGGATCCAAGGAAAGGCCTAAGTCTAAGAAAAATTGGAAAAAAGTCCATAATAGGCTAAAATTTCCAACGATCTTGCAGTAGTCCCTAGGTGATGTATAACCTATCAAATGAAAGATCTTCGAGTCTAGTTTCCAACGCTTCAAACCGTTTGTCATTTGGACCTTCCTACACAATGTTATGATCAAATTACCAAAAGCTGGAAAAAATGCGATTCTGCGTGAAATCTGCGATCGCAGATTCAACTCTACGGACCGCATAACCATTCTGCGGTCGCAGAATGGTCGCAGATTGAGACAGAACAGCCCAGTTTTGGGCAACGAGTTCTGCGACGAAACTGCAGCCCGCATACCCATTCTGCGGTGGATTCTGCTATAGCAGACTTGATATCCGAGGATTAATTTTCAAATTTTTATAACCCGACCCCATTTTAACATATAGGCTTGAGAGTTCATTTCGGGGTCATTCTCTACTGATTTTAGAGAGAGGTGAGAGAATATTAGAGAGAGAAGGAGGAACCCAACATTTAAATTATCCAAACCTTGCATCAATCTTCAAGAATCAAAGAACCCAATCACAAGTTCTTCATCTAAGAGGTAAGATTCTATACCCTAGGTTTTTAATTTCGAGTTTGGAGTATTAGATGGGGTATTGAGGTATGATTATTGGGTGTAATGCTATTATGTATACATGCATGTACAACTTAGGTTTATGGGAAGATCGTTTAACATAAATAAGTAAAGATTGGGTTAGGGAATGAAGAAAATCTTGAAAAGGGGATTTGAAATCAAGGTACTCAACTAGTATTTGATAAAATGCTCAAATGAGCTAGAATTATGAATATCTTCCTAATTTGTGTTCAATTTTGCTATGTCCCAAAATAGATTGAAGTTGCTAGAATTTCCGGAATATCGTAGTGATTAAGGGAAAGCTCAAGAAAGGTATGTATGGCTAAAACCCCCTTTTTATTAGAAATTGAGCTCCGCTGTCATTTATGAAAGCATGGTAAGAGTTGAATTGGTTAGCATATTGCTTGTTATTACGCATTAATTGATTTGCAATTATCTATACATATTCGTGAAGGATGTGCTTCAATGTGAATAATGTGCCAATCTTGACAATTAGATAATGATGAAAAGTACAGTTATGTGTTAAAATACTTGGGCTATAAGCCAACATTGAAACAAAGAATTATTCATGCTAGCTATGTGCTCATTTACCTGTGATTGCAATTTGAATTATCCTTGATATATGTGTCTATGTTTACAACTTATAAAATGAATATTAAAAAAAGGAAACGATGTGATGATGGTGGCCATGAGTGCCCCAGGAATTGTTATGATATGTGTGGGATAAAGATTTGAAGTGTTGACTAATGAGAATGGAGTAATGCCTCTAATGAGGTGACCTAGCCGATCGGGTCGTGATCAGACACCATGCCGCACACATGGTGGTAATGTGCTGATATTGGATTCCGGATAAGGGAAATGAAATATTGATTGAGAGTAATGCCTCCAATGAGGTGACCTAGCCGGTCGGGTCGTGATCGGACTCCGCTCGAGATGGCGGTGGTAATGAGAATAGTGGTGAACACGTGACAGAAATGCCCTAATCAATGTTGTGGAAATTGTATGAAAGATTATATGAATTGCTTCTTTGATTTGCCCATATTATTTGCTTGTATCTGTTTGATAGTTCTTTCTAGTAAAATGGTGTTTAGTTATACATACCAGTACAATTCAAATGTACTGACGTCCCTTTTGCCGGGGGCGCTACATTCGTGTTATGATTGTAGGTGGTTCTATAGCAGGCACTCCAGTCCACCGACAGTAGCACCCCCTCCACTCTCCGTCAGCTGTATTGGTGAGCCCCTTTTCCCTCGGGGCCCTGCGTGGCTTATGCCGCTGTTCTTCCCGGAGTCTTATTTTTTGTATTCGTGTAAGGTATAGTCGGAGCCTTGTTGCCGGCATTTCTGTATTATTCTTCAGTTATATTTAGAGGCTCCGCAGACAGGTTGTGGGTAGTGTGGGGTATTGGAAATTAAAAGTAGAAATATTGATGTTTGGCAATGATGTATGTAACTTGTAATACCCTTAAAGTGGCGAAATGAAGTTGCTAATGACAATGAGATGGAAATCGTTAATTATATGTTGATAGAATTTGATTAATGGAGTCTATCCCTTATTTAATTATGAGTTGGGTTGGGTAGTATGTATGAAACCTGCCAGGCTTGCTCAGTCGGGTTTACTCGGTTGAGCGCCGGTCGCGCCCCTTGGATTTTGGGGCGTGACATCTGCGTAGGCCAAGAGTAGCTTTTGGTAAGAGCCCATTTCTAGACGTCCCACAACAAGGTTGCAAAAGAAGGAGGCTCTTGAGTCTGCTCTTAAGAACAGTTAGACTAAACCAAGGAGGAGACAATTAGTGAAAGATGGCAAAGTTGTAAATGAGGAGTTAGATCCTGTTGTGAGTGTGGATGAAGAAGATGAGGAGGAACCTAGTACGTTGACTAGGAAGTTGTCACAAAATCATGGTCTTCTCAAACCAAAAAGTAGATCTTCTGTGTCTTTGATTTGGAGGTTCAAAAGTTCACATCCTCTTGACAACATAATCACTCCTCTTGACTCAGGAGTTCAAACCTGATCAAAATCAAGGAATTCACTTGCCTTCTTAGACTTTCTTTCCCAAATAGAGCCCAAAAATATAAATGAAGCACTAAAATATGCAAACTGGATCACAGCCATACAAAGAGGAGCTGCATCAATTTGAAAGGAACAAGGTATAGCACCTGGTTCCTCGACCTGCTGATCGAACTATTATAGGAACTAGGTGGGTATTCAAAAACTAGCTTGATGAGTTTAGAAATACAACAGGAAACAAGGCAAGACTTGTGGTTCAAGGCTATAATCAGGAAGAAGGGATTGATTATGATGAAACATTCGCTCCCGTAGCTCGAATGGAAGCCATTATAATTTTTATTGCCTTTGCATCTCATATGGAGTTCACTCTATTCCAAATGGATGTCAAAAGTGCATTTCTAAATGGCTATCTAAAAAAAGAAGTCTATGTGAACCAGCCTCCTGGTTTTAAGTGTCACGAACACCCTGATCATGTGTTTTAACTAGGCAAGGCATTGTACGGGTTAAAACAGGCTCCCAGGGCTTGGTATGAAAGATTGTCAAAATTCCTTCTGGAAAATGGCTTTGCAAGAGGGAAGATTGACAACACTCTTTTCCTAAAGAAACGAGGGAGGAACCTACTCATTATTCAGGTGTATGTCGATGATATCATCTTTGCAGCCACATCTGACCCTCTTTGCTAAACTCATGGGGAGTGAATTTGAGATGAGTATGATGGGAGAACTGAATTTCTTCCTAGGACTTCAAGTGATGAAATCTAAGAAGGGAACATTGATAAGTCAACAAAAGTACATCAAGGAGCTGCTGAAAAGGTTTGATATGGAAGCCTCAAAAGTTATCGACACGCCCATTGCAATAGCTACTCGTCTAGACATGGATGAATCTGGTTTCCCTGTAAACCAGACCATGTATAGAGGAATCATAGGGTCACTATTATATCTCACTGCAAGCCGACTAGACATTGTTTTTAGCGTGGGTCTCTGTGCAAGGTTTCAATCCAATCCAAAGGAATCTCATCTGAAGGCTGCCAAGAGAATACTGAGATATCTCAAAGGAACACGGGACCTGGTCCTCTATTATCCTTCAGGAGATAGTTTTGATCCTATTGTGTATGCTGACGCTGATTATGCTGGATTTCTGGTGGACAGGAGAAGCACTTCTGGGATGGCACACTTCCTGGGTTCCTGCTTAATCTCATGGGGTACAAGGAAGCAAAATTCTGTGGCACTTTTGACTGTAGAAGCTGAATATGTAGCAGTTGCCTCTTGCTGTGCTCAACTTTTGTGGATCAAGCAATAATTGGAAGATTTCAGAGTATTCTCAAACTGTGTGCCTCTCTTATGTGATAATACTAGTTCACTCAACATGGTAAAAAATCCAGTTCAACATAAGAAGACAAAGCTTATTGATGTATGTCACCATTTCCTCAGAGACAATATTGAGAAAGGGCTTATATGCATGAAATTCTGCAGCACTGAAGACCAAATTGCAAATATATTTACCAAGGCCTTGAGCAGAGAACACTTCAAGCAAAATCGTCTAGCATTAGGGTTGATAAAACCCTATTGAGAACCCGGTCCCTCAATGATTGGCTATGAAAGAAAGGTTCAGGTAAACTTAGCTAAAAAGTGTTTTCTGGTAAAGTGTAACTCATCTCTATACCGTTACAGGTAGACACGCTTGATGATTATAGAGCAAATAAGCATTTGAAGTTGTACACTGGTAATAAGGGCAAAGCTTACAAACAAGAGATTAGTTAGCGAACCTGGTTCTCCTGATACAGGTTAGTAGTTTCTATGTTCTCTCATGCACAATTCTGAATAATCAAAACAAGTGCTACGTCATCAGCATGTCAGCGTTTAGTTTACATCTTTTAAACCCAAACGCCTCACCAATTATAAGACGACCAATCTCCCTAAGACCTGCCGCCCTTTTTCTAACCAATCCCTCTGTCATCATAAATACATCTATCTCTGTCACCACACTTCACACATCAACACTTCCAAACCTATTCCCTGTTTACTCTCTCTTCAGGTCACCAAATCTTCTCCTCCTCTCACCATGGCTGACTATCAATTGATCTCTAGTACTATCGAGTCTTCACCAGTCGAAACACCAGTCTCTCCTCTTCACACTACTAATAACCAAAACCCTAGAACAGAGTCACCCCCACCCTTCATCTCTTCTCCTACCCATTCAAGTTCCGGCTCTCTCAAGAGTTACCCAGCATCAACTCTTGCAGCAGGTGTTGCCCAGAGCTCATCTCTCACCTCGCCAGAAAAAAGGGATGCCACGATTATTGCTGAGAATGAAGGAAATAAAAAAAATCTCAATTTCTCCTATAGAAAAAAAGTTAGAAGAAGACCAAGTTGAGGGAAATAAAGTCATCGACTAAAGAGAGACTGCTCCCGAACCTCAGTCCACAGGTGCCTCTACTATTTCTCCTAAGCCTCTCATGAATTTGCAAGAAATGGAAGTAATCGAAAATATGCTGTCCATTGCAAATAAAGGAGTTTTTGTTGGAGGAAGTGAGGATGGTCTTAAGACTCAAGGGGAAAAATCTGAACCTGTTGGGGAGGATAGCGAGCGTGTGCCTCTTGTTCCTTCGGCACAGGAAGGACCTGATCCGCCTTAGTTCAGGAACCCTAGGTCAGTACTAACCCTGCTCCCTCTCCTCATTTAGACGTTGAGCCTCTGAATGTAATCATGCTTGAGACAGGTCCTGCGTCTGACAATCAAAAGGCGAATAGTGAAGAAGATTCTGATGACTTACCAATCGCAAGCCTGGCTAGGCGAAGATTAGCTCATGGTGAAAATCCCATTTCTAGACGACCCACGACAAGGTTGCAAAAGAAGGAGGCTCTTGAGTCTGCTCTTAAGAACAGTCAGACTAAATCAAGGAGGAGACAATTAGTGAAAGATGGCAAAGTTGCAAATGATGAGTTAGTTCCTGTTATGCGTGTGGATGAAGAAGAAGAGGAGGAACCTAGTACGTTGACTAGGAAGTTGTCACAAAATCATGGTCTTCTCAAACAAAAAAGGAGATCTTCTATGTCTTTGAAGTGTCGGACTAGGCTTACTGATGATGCTACTAGTGCGAATATGGAGAAAGACTCAGGTGAAAAGTCGACAAAGTCTGATAACAAGAAGAAGGGTGTCTGCAAGACTGCTAAGAGAAAGGCTGATACTACTGGTGAACCTGGTTCCTCAATGAAGGCCAAGGCTGATGATCCGGAAAGTGCTTGGAAAGAAAGATTTATAAGGCAAAAGGTACTATCTGGGCGTACATTCGCCTCTGATGTCTTGGAGGAGGCTGGTATGAGACAGCTGGTTGAAATTTGTGATTTCAAATAATGGACACATTTGTTCACAGGTGATGCTGCTAGGGTATATGAGGAGGAAGTTCAAAGCTTTTATGCCAACTTGTACAAGGCTGAGGATGGTCACATTTGCGCATTGGTAAATGGCGTTGATATGGTATTAGATGTTGCGTTGCTGAGATCTATTTTTGGTATGCCCACTGAAGGGTTATCTAGTGTTCAAGGAGTCTGTACTAAGAGCTTCAGAAATGCAATCTTGAAGGATAGAGTGGTTCAGCAGGGGGAACGAGTTCAGAAGAAGGCCCTTCTTCCTGTTTACCAGTTGCTATTTGAAATGGTAAACAAAGTGCTGCTGGCTCGAGCTGAGCGACAATCCATCACCACTCGTGCAGACTTGTTCCTCATGGAAGCACTGGATGACTTTACTACCATCAATCTGCCTGGGATCATGATAGAGCACATGAACAAGGTGGCTGATTTTAAAGAGGGCTGCCATATGGGTTCCTTCTTACCAAGGTCTTCGAACACTTCAAGGTTCCTCTCGGACCAATTAAACTGGGTGCCAAGAAGCAAACTAATTCAAAAAGCACTCTTGAAGAATGTGAGTGTATAGAAAAATTTGGAGGGGTTGCAAGCACTTCAACTATTTCCAGTTGATCAATGCTCAAAACAGTACTACTACTGAGATAAGGCAATTGAAAGCAAGGAATGCTATCCTTGAGACTCAGATAAGTCAGCTACAAGAGGCACCTGGTTCCAGTCATTCTCAGAACGAAGAGGTTGCTAGACTGACTAAGGAGAACACTGATCTCAGGAAACAAGTGGAGGACCTAAAAGAAAGACTGCTCAATGAGCAAATGTCAGCAAATGCTCGTATGGATCTTGTCCTCCAAACAATTTCCTCTGCTTCCAAACCTTCTCCTCCCAATGCCTCTTAGATTCAGTCTCCTCAGTGTCCAGTCTCTCCGTGTCAGTTCTTCTGATGATATCTAGTGGTACTTTTGTTTGTTTGTGCTATTGTGTAGATGTGGTAGTAACATTGATTCTGCTCCTATTGTAAAATCCAAAACTTTATTAATGCAAGCTTTTCCCTTGTTGCTGTTTGTACTGTGCTTTTATGCTCTGTTCTTAATCATGACTGTGTGCACATATGTGGCATGAGTTAACTTATAACTAGACTTCCTTCCTGCTTAACTGATTCTTATCTTTTTATGATGCCAAAAGGGGAAAAAATAATTGCACTGATTAAGGGAGAATGCAGAGCTTCGGGGGGAACTTAAGGTCTTTCTGGTTCCCAATCTGGTTCTTTGTGGCTCTTTCTAGGATTTTCAATTATAAGTTTATCATCATCAAAAAGGGGGAAATTGATAGGTTACAAGCACTTTACTTTATGTTTTGATGATCTAACAAACTTACTATCTAGAACCAGATAAGGAACCTATTGCATATTTACAAGACCTCAAGATCACAAGATCCCAGGATGGGATTCAGCGGGGAATATGATTCAACCCTTCAGAAGTGGAAGGAACAGCTGAGGGACCAGGTCCCTACCAGTTCCCGAGGAGACTGCACGAAGTCAACTTTCCAGCTAGAAAGTTGTTGCTTGCACACGCTACTGTGCAGAACAGTGCTGCAGTCAACTTTCTACTGAAGACTTTTTACCTACCTTGTTTGCATCATTGTAAGTGATGTCACACATGTATATATGCATGAAAGTGAGGTAAAACAAATTACTTGAACATTTGATAAGCTCATCAACGTGACCATCCAGCAAGCAAGTTTGAATTGCTTCAAGAACAAAGAACAAAACAACTACGGACCAGTTCCCACATAGAGTTATTTTATGTCCTTAGTTGAGTTGTAACTTTGTCATAGTTATTTAATTGTAATTCCTATCTAGCTTGTTTAGAAGTATTATATAGGAACCCATTTGTAAACCTTAAACCAGTGTGTTTGAGTCTTGGCTAGAGTTAGTCATGTTGTAAAGTCTTTGTAATAGAGTTATTACAAAGTGGCTTGTAATAGAGTATTACAAGTTAGTGAGGGATTAAGAGGTTAATTCCTAGGTTGCATCGGTAGTAATCTAAAAGTTGCTCAGTAGTGAAGTTGAAATCCTACAAGGGTAGGTCGTGGTTTTAATCCCGTTGAGCTAGGAATTTTCCGCATAAAATTCCTCTAGCCATTTAGTTACTGCTATGTGTGAGTGTGTGTGTGTACTGTTGGACCTGATAGAGAACCTGGTTCTCTAAAGAGTTTGGTGGACCCTTATATTCTATTAAAAGCTATCCGAGACTTGCCACCTCCCAAGAATAAGAAAGATGTGATGAGCTTTTTAGTGCGTCTCAACTACATCAGCCGTTTCATAGCACAATCAACCGTGATCTGTGAGCCGATCTTCAAGATGTTGAAGAAAGATGCAGCAACAAGCTGGACTGAAGAATGCCAGAAAGCCTTCGACAAAATCAAGGAGTATTTATCTAAACCACCTGTTCTGGTCCCACCAGAACCAAGGAGGCCTCTGCTCTTTATTTGTCCGTATTGGACGGAGCTTTTGGTTGTGTTCTGGGACAACATGATGTGACTGGAAGAAAGGAGCAGGCGATATATTATCTGAGTAAGAAATTCACGCCTTCCGAAGCTCGATACTCTTTGCTAGAACGCACTTGCTATGCCTTGACATGGATAGCTCAGAAGTTGAGACATTATTTCTGCACATACACTACATATCTCATATCAAGGATGGATCCGCGGAAATACATCTTCTAGAAGCCCATGCCTATGGGTATGTTAACCATGGAAAACGAATTTTCCCGATGAGAAGGTATCATTTGTAGGAGAAGATATCAACGAAGCATACGATGATTAGAGAATGTTCTTTGACGGAGCTGCAAACTTCAAAGGAGTGGGTATTGGAGCTGTCTTAGTATGAAAAACCAGCCAACACTACTCGGTTTCCGCAGAACTCAGGTTTCCATGCAC